CTCATTGATGATTTGAGTATATAATACTAAAACAAAATTTTGCATGGGGTACTTCAAGAAAGGTATATGTATTACCATGGAAAAATTTAAGTAAAAAAAAAGTGTTGCGATCGCCTTTGTGGGAATGTATTTTATCAAACGCTTTAAAATTAGTGACAAATAATGGCATACCAGAAGAAAAGAAGAAATTATCTCTCGGAATATCTCTTTTTAATGAAGTATACGTAGTCGTAGCGTATAATTCTACAGAAAATCGCATAGTTACTAGGACTTTGATTTGCTTAAAACGTTATTTATAAACAAAGATATTGTCGCCAAATTGTAACAGTTAAAACTGTACAACCTCGAGCTCTATCCTCTTCTACAATAAAGCACACTTTTCGAATAAGGCTATAAAATAATAAGATTCACAGTTATTTCGTTTTACATCATTAACGTAGAACAACCAGATGTTTCTTCTTGAATGTGCAAAAACATTTATCTGTATCCGTTCCACTATTCTCAAAAACATAAGATTGCACATAATATTTGAAGTGAGATGCCCGTATGAGTGTTTGATATCAAGTATACAGAAATATAGATCTCTTTCTTATCAATGGGGAACTCGCTTGTGTTGTTTCCTGAATCAGCACTATACACTAATTTGTTAAATGGAATATTCCTAAACAATAAATAAAGTTTTTTGTCATATAATAAGTTTTAAATTAAATATATATCAGTCCAATGATGCAATTGTGAAAATCGATTGTACATTTTTTCAATCAAATGACCAAAACTGTAAAAAATGCTCAATTAATGACTACCGGATCCCTATAGGGTAAAGATTAGACTTAAGTTTCTGGTTGGATTAAACCTAAACGTGATTGACTTTGTAGCTAACTATGTTCAAGTCTGAAAGTAAAAATAAGTTGTTTGGATGTCAAATTTAATTGGCGAACAGGTATTTTCCCTCAATAGAAATATACGAAGGACATTATTATATCTAAATGATGATCAAACGGAGTAAAGTTATCCGGAAAAGACGTGTAAGGCTGAATAAAATATAGTAATGCGACATAGAAGACCAAGTAAGTTCTCTCCATTTTTGAGTTTCTACAACGTATACATTTTCGTGTTCAGCTTCTAACTACTTATTTCCGTAAAGTTAAGGAAGTAATATTTTTGCAGTACATGTACTTAGTATTTTATTTGATTTGCTGACATGTAATTTCCAAATTTACATGAGCAAGATCATTTCATAAAGTAAGTTTTATTTTACCCCGTTTTGTGTGCCTAAAGTCATAATGATCTGAAAATTTTCAACTTGTATCACAAAGCTTCTATTATGCCAAAATGCCATTGCAGATATTACTAATATAAATGTTTCATCTACTTAAAACATCGACAAACAAGCGCAACAATAACAGGCCAGTACATGGTCTAGAAAACAGAGCTCCCAAGCGGTCGTGATTTATGTCTAAATATACCATTAACCTTATTCTTATCTCGATTTTATTCATTCATCTGAGCGATTCGGCAACCATTCATAGAGCCAGTGTATAAATTCGGTCAGATTGTCTTATTCATATAAACAGCGATTTTAAGAAAGTTATTGACAGTCCGATAATCTTTACCCTAGCATTGAATAACATAATAATTTTTACCATTCAATATCTCATTTCGGAATTAAGAACAATATATTTTATTCAAAATTTTATTTTTATCTGTTGAAAATTCAAGAATTTTTTTTATCTCTTTATTTAAAGCCTGTTTCCATCAAACAAAATTGATTCACTTATTTTAGTTATAAATTTTTTGAGCGGATAGCTTTCTCTTACAATGACAATGTACAGATACGTGAAAATGTGAGCTTTCGGTTGATTTGGATTAAATACAAAAGGTTGGTTAATGATGAGTTTTGTTTATAAATAAAAAAATAAAAAAAAATGAAATCGATCCAGCACTTTCATCTATCATCGGAGTATGTTTTTATTCTTAACATTCATAAATATACTATTTTAAACATTTGTGATGGATATATTTAAATCTGAAACGTAAATGATGCATTACCTATGATCATTCTCCTTACAGGAACTGCAAAAAGCCTGAGCATGTTCCATGCAATACCATGTGCTTACTGTACCATCATGTTTCTCACACATAATTTCGCCCACCTTGCTGTTGTCATCTGAACATACAAAAAATCTATGAAAGCAAAGGAAACTACTTATGCGAGCCTTTAATGGATTTGTTAGATTTTGAACGCTGTTCCATATATATCATAATAAAAGGTAGCATTGTACGAACATATTGCAAACAGTGATGTAGCATTATTCATTTCTACAAATTTAATCTTGATATAAAAGCATGAAATCTTACAGGTTGTGATTTTAAGCGCGGTAACAAAATTAAAACTTCTTGTTGATTGCAGTAACCTGGATACAACATGTCAAAATGAAAGAATTATTCATAATTTACATTATTATTGTATCACGCATACAACACGCATTGAGATAATAGGATACTGTGTTAGAGAAAAGATATGTATGTGTTCTTTCCATGGCATCAAGGTTTTCTTCAATATTTTTTTGTGAAAATCACGGATTGATTTCTTCTTAAGCAATTGTTATTTTGTTGTTTCTTTCTATATTGTATATAGCAATGTGTACAAATATTTTGTCAGCAACCTTATTTATCCATGTTACTGCTCATTTATGAATTAATTGTCTCAAGAACTGTGCTTATGTTGAAGAAAATGTATTTAAAAATAAGATATTGTGCAGTGAAAAAAATGAAAGTGAACGGCTCTTACAATCCACCAAAATAACCAAGTGGTCAACATATGCAAAATTGCCCTTACTGACTTAGTTACGCAGTAGAAATATGGTGATAACTACTGCAAAATCAGTCATTAATCGAATGAAAAATCAGCCATTAATCGAATTTAACTTGTAAATCATTTTCTTAATCATGAATCGTTTTACTTTTCTATAATCTTAGAATTTTATTAGCACCAACATAAGATAAAATATCCGACCCAGATTTTATCAAATTGTGTGACACTTTACATTCTATTTATTCCTTACATTTTTATTAAGTTTCTATTAAAAATATATACATATAATAATAATATATAATGTTACTCCATCTTTACATCAGAACATATACACAACAATACGTATTCCAATATATTGCAATACGCTTCGGCAAAATGGCAATATATTGCAATACGGTTTTTGCCGTATTGTTACACCCCTACTATTTGCCTCCTTTTGAGCAAATAAAACAATAATACGAAACCATTATATAAAACAAGCCCCTTTAAAGGCCAAATATGTCTCAGAAATGATTTTACTTTTATTTCCCGAAGGCCTTTTTATCTTTGATGTATTGTTGTAGTTTCTAAAAAGTTACTCATACGCAAATTATTTGAACATTATTTTGCTTCTGTTGCTTTTTGACAATTAGTACTGTTGAAGTGATCTACTATTTTGTATGGAAGCCAGAACACTGTTTACATTTTGCTACTTTTATTACGGATAATTGCACATTTACAGCTAATTTCTTCACATGATACACATCTAACATGCTGTAAAACCATTATCTTATTGTTATAAAACTCATGATAATAGAAAAAAAATCGTTTTTGCGGCATAATGTACCTTTAATACAACTACTCTGTTCATCATACAAGTTTTTTTCTGATCAAACAACGTGAAATACTAAGTATTGGAAATAAAATTATGATACAAACCTTTAAGCTTTTCTTGCAATTGTCGAAGCTCTTCATCTTTCTAAAAAGAAGATAAAATAGTATTTTCTAATTATTACATCACATCCTATATCTAAATCCAGAAGAAGAATGTTGCTATATACTTTTTTTACATCTGCTGTAAAACAATTTAAGAAAAATAAGCCACAAGCCACATTATATAACATTTTGTTGTTGTTGTTGTTGTTGTTATTGTCGTGACAATTGGCATATGTATCATATTTTTGTAATATCATCATAATAATACAATGTAGTCTTAACCCTTTACCTCATATATACGCGAATCAACGCACTTTTGACCCCCTCCCTCTTTTAGGCCCCAAATAGTGAAAAAAAATCATATTTGGGCCCCAAACATATGTTTTCGTTTGAGAAATGTTGCTAAAAAAGTGAGCACTTTTTCGGCGCCGCCTCTCATCCAAAAGATACATCAGGTGGTTGCCAGAAGGGGGATGTGCCCCCTTCTGTTATGGGGGTGGGGGTTGAAGGGGGCGGTAGTCCCCCTGATCGCCAAGAAAATTTTGGATTGTAAGAGACTAAAAATGACCCCAGGTCGATCATAAGGTAACGTGTAACCAACGCTGAAAAGCCTTTGAACATTTGTGCCAAGTTTGATTAGTATTGAAGCATTTTTCATAGTTTCATAGCAATTTGAACTTGTAACAGGAGGCTTTTCAATGAAAATGGCCATTTTTCACAATAATTATGCTCATGAGGGATAGGGTTAACTAAAAAAAAATAAAAAAAATGTTATAAAACAACATTTTTTCACCAAAATTAGGTGAAAGACCACATGTTAACATGGAAAAACTAGATTTTGGGTAATTCAAAAGTTTTTCATCATCTTTTGTTAACCCTTTACCTCATATATACGCGAAACAACGCACTTTCGACCCCCCATCTTTTAGGCCTCAAATTGTGAAAAAATATCCCATTTGGGCCCCAAACACATGTTTTCGTTTGAGAAATGTTGCTAAAAAAGTGAGCACTTTTTCGGCGCCGCCCCCCATCCAAAAGATACATCAGGGGGTTGCAAGAAGGGGGATGTGCCCCTTCTGTTTTGGGGGTTTGAAGGGGGGCGGTAGTTCCCCTGATCGCCAAGAAAATTTTGGACTTGTGAGAGGCTATAAATGACCCCAGATTGATCATAAGGTAACGTTTGACCAACGCTGAAAAGCCTTCGACTCTATCTCAATCCCTTGAGAAGTTGCAGCACTTTGAAATAAATTTTGATAGAAAAAATCATTTTTCACCTCTCATCTGTTTCCACGTAATCAGAACTTTTCATGATTATCAGATCTGCATAAAATGTAAAAATAAAATCTGGATAAAGTGTGATCCCTCGGAAGCTTTAATCAACAAAATTACATCTAAACCATTTTGTAGGCAATACAGTTCTGCAAAATTTGGTACAAAGTTGCCAATATTTTGCTTAAATAAATGTACAATTTTTTCTGAGTATAGCTTTAGCAGCTGCGTACTCTTCCGAAAGAATTAGCTGTGTACTCGTCCAATAGAATTTGCCGTAAACTCGTCCAATAGAAAACAGTATTGTACTTAACAATGTATAATAACCTCACATAACAATTGAATAAACACAAACATACTGGACACTATAACGGAAGCAGATGTTGACTGATTTTTGTATGAACAAGAGTACGTGCCGCTGTCTTCTGTCGTTGCACTTGGAACAATAAGGAAATGGCTGCATTTGTTCGCTGCTAAAATGTAGTTAGAGTCCATGTCCGTAAGGTGTTTACCATTTTTCGACCAAATGGCATGACAATCATCTTTGTTGAGCTCACAAGCAAGAGCGATTGACTCCCCCACGTCAACAACTTTGTTTGAAAGATGTTTAACAAATTGTATGATCGGTTTCTCGTTATCTGTGATGAAATATAGGATATATTTAAAAAATACTAAGGTCATTCGTTTTAAGAGTATTTATTAAATAGTAGACTCGGTAAGTGTTTCACGTTTGTTTATTACAGGTTATCACATTGCTGTTCAGCATGACTCGCTATGCATTAGTACAGCTATGCATTAAATATGTAAACAAGCCGTTTCCACTGCTTTGCATGTCTGTGCGGTTATATTTCTGAAGATGTTATGTAGCTTTTTGATTTAGTAAACAAATCATAATTGTAACTTTTTCATGCGTCTCATTCCCCATTGGGAATATGTCACTTCCAATAATCCGTATAATTAGAATATGTGATAAAATATGAGATAAAATAATAAATTCGTAAATATTTCATATCAGCTTTATTGAACAAGACTCGCATTATATATTTTTTATTTAACGCGTTTAATAAATTTAATATGGAACCTAAATTTAAACTTAAAAAGTTTTCAGAATCGATATTAAAATAAAAGAGACATAAATGAAATATTTTCTCATGCTATCTAAAAAATTAATACAAAATGATAAATAAACAGCAACTGTGCCTTATTAAGGTTGTAATAGTTTACAATATATCTTAAGGAGACATATACAATGGTAATATTTTTACATTAATTTCTTACCATTATCTTCGACTTCAGGCAAATCCTCAGTGTATAAATCTGGGACCGAATTTGAAGGTAATTGGTATTCTGAAGCGATTTCAATATGCTTGTTGACATCTTCAGTACTTTTCAAGTGTTCATCTACTTCTTTTTCTATCTGAAAGTCTTTTGATTTATCAAAGAACTCAATTAGACTTTTGCATTTACATACAGCGTCTGTACCTTTACAAAGTTCAATCAACGAGAACTTGAGTTCCTCCCATGCATTTAAGTACAAAAGTTTCAAAGTCAAACGAAGCACACTTTGTAGGTTTTTTTTCAAGTTAAGCCGTTTGTATAATATGCGTTTAACACAATCGATATTTGATGGCAAAGTTAGTTAAAAAAAACAATTTCACAGAGTTGTTATTCCAAAATCTCTATTTTGTACAAATATTTTCATTGGTATCATCAAAAAGCAATTTGTATATAATCAGTATAAAACGTTCGTATATATTCTTTCTTGTCTGTAAGAACAGTATTCAGAGAGGTATGTTTTATCCGTATAATTAAAATATGTGATAGATAAAATAATAAAATCGTAAAGATTTCATATCAGATTTATTGAACGAGACTCGCGTTATATTTTCTTTTTATTTTATGCGTTTAATAAATAAAAAATGGAATCCAAATTCATTTAAAAGTTTTCAGTATAATCGATATTAAAATAAAAGAGACATTAATGAAATATTTTCTCATGCTATCTACAAAATTAATACAAAATGATAAATAAACAGCAACTGTGCCTTATTAAGGTTGTAATAGTTTACAATATATCTTAAGGAGACATATACAATGGGAATATTTTTACATTAATTTCTTACCATCATCTTCGACTTCAGACAAATCCTCAGTGTATAAATCTGGGACCGAATTTGAAGGTAATTGGTATTTTGAAGCAATTTCAATATGCCTGTTGACATCTTTTCCTATCTGAAAGTCTTTTGATTTATCAAAGAACTTAATTATACTTTTGCATTTACATTCAGCGTCTGTACCTTTACAAATTTCAATCAACGAGTATATGAGTTTTTTCCCATTTAAGTACAAAAGTTTCAAAGTCAAAGGAAGCACTCTTTGTAGGTCTTTTTTCTTCAAATTAAGTCGTTTGTATAATATGCGTTTAACACTAAATAAACAGCAACTGTGCCTTATTAAGGTTGTAATAGTTTGCAATATATCTTAAGGAGACATATACAATGGTAATATTTTTACATAATTTCTTACCATCATCTTCGACTTCAGTCAAATCCTCAGTGTATAAATCTGGGACCGAATTTGAAGGTAATTGGTATTCTGAAGCGATTTCAATATGCTTGTTGACATCTTCAGTCCTTTTCAAGTGTTCACCTACTTCTTTTCCTATCTGAAAGTCTTTTGATTTATCAAAGAACTTAATTAGACTTTTGCATTTACATTCAGCGTCTGTACCTTAACAAATGTCAATCAACGAGTATATGAGTTTTTCCCATTTAAGTACAAGAGTTTCAAAGTCAAAGAAAGCACTCTTTGTAGGTCTTTTTTTCTTCAAATTAAGCCGTTTGTATAATATGCGTTTAACACAATCGATCTTTGATGGCTAAGTTAGTTACAAAACAATTTCACAGAATTGTAATTCCAAAAACTCTATTTGTGTATAAATATTTTCATTGCTATCATCAAAAAGCACTTTGTATATGTCAGTATGAAAAGTTCGTATATATTCTTTCTTGTCTGTAAAAACAGAGGTATGTTTTATCCGTATTATTAGAATTTGTGATAGATAAAATAATTAATTCGTAAAGATTTATTAAAAGAGAATGGCGTTATATTGTTTTTATTTAACGCGTTTAATAAATTTAATATGGAATCCAAATTCATTTTAAAAGTTTTCAGAATCGATATTAAAATAAAAGAGACATAAATGAAATATTTTCTCATGCTATCTACAAAATTAATACAAAATGATAAATAAACAGCAACTGTGCCTTATTAAGGTTGTAATAGTTTACAATATATCTTAAGGAGACAAATACAATGGTAATATTTTTACATTAATTTCTTACCATTATCTTCGACTTCAGACAAATCCTCAGTGTATAAATCTGGGACCGAATTTGAAGGTAATTGGTATTCTGAAGCGATTTCAATATGCTTGTTGACATCTTCAGTACTTTTCAAGTGTTCATCTACTTCTTTTCCTATCTGAAAGTCTTTTGATTTATCAAAGAACTTAATTAGACTTTTGCATTTACATTCAGCGTCTGTACCTTTACAAATGTCAATCAACGAGTATATGAGTTTTTCCCATTTAAGTACAAGAGTTTCAAAGTCAAAGAAAGCACTCTTTGTAGGTCTTTTTTTCTTCAAATTAAGCCGTTTGTATAATATGCGTTTAACACAATCGATCTTTGATGGCTAAGTTAGTTACAAAACAATTTCACAGAATTGTTATTACAAAAACTCTATTTGTGTATAAATATTTTCATTGCTATCATCAAAAAGCACTTTGTATATGTCAGTATGAAAAGTTCGTATATATTCTTTCTTGTCTGTAAGAACAGTATTCAGAGAGGAATGATTAATCCGTATAATTAGAATATGTGATAGATAAAATAATAAATTCGTAACGATTTCATATCAGATTTATTGAAAAAGAATGACGTTATATTGTTTTTAATTAATGCGTTAAATAAATTTAGTATGGAATCAAAATTCATTTAAAAAGTTTTCAAAATCGATATTAAAATAAAAGAGACATAAATGAAATATTTTCTCATGCTATCTACAAAATTAATACAAAATGATAAATAAACAGCAACTGTGCCTTATTAAGGTTGTAATAGTTAACAATATATCTTAAGGAGACATATACAATGGTAATATTTTTACATTAATTTCTTACCATCATCTTCGACTTCAGACAAATCCTCAGTGTATAAATCTTGGACCGAATTTGAAGGTAATTGGTATTCTGAAGCGATTTCAATATGCTTGTTGACATCTTCAGTACTTTTCAAGTGTTCATCTACTTCTTTTCCTATCTGAAAGTCTTTTGAATTATCAAAAAAAAAAACTTTATTAGACTTTTGCATTAACATTCAGCGTCTGTACTTTTACAAAGTTCAATCAACGAATACTTGAGTTCCTCCCATTTAAATTCAAAAGTTTCAAAGTCAGAGGAAGCACGCTTTGTAGTTTTTCAGATTAAGCCGTTTGAATAATATGCGTTTAACACAATCGATCTTTGATGGCTAAGCATTTAAAAAACCAGTAACAGAATTGTTATTCCAAAAACGCTATTTGTGTACAAATATTTTTATTTGTATCATCAAAAAGCACTTTGTATATGTCAGTATGAAAAGTTCGTATATATTCTTTCTTGTCTGTAAAAATAGTATTCAGAGAGGTATGTTTTATCCGTATTATTAGAATTTGTGATAGATAAAATAATAAATTCGTAAAGATTTATTAAAAGAGAATGGCGTTATATTGTTTTTATTTAACGCGTTTAATAAATTTAATATGGAATCCAAATTCATTTTAAAAGTTTTCAGAATCGATATTAAAATAAAAGAAACATAAATGAAATATTTTCTCATGCTATCTAAAAAATTAATACAAAATGATAAATAAACAGCAACTGTGCCTTATTAAGGTTGTAATAGTTAACAATATATCTTAAGGAGACATATACAATGGTAATATTTTTACATTAATTTCTTACCATCATCTTCGACTTTAGACAAATCCTCAGTGTATAAATCTTGGACCGAATTTGAAGGTAATTGGTATTCTGAAGCGATTTCAATATGCCTGTTGACATTTTCAGTACTGCTTTTAAAGTATTCATCTACTTCTTTTCCTATCTGAAAGTCTTTTGATTTATCAAATTACATAATTAGACTTTTGCATTTACATTCAGCGTCTGTACATTTACAAAGTTCAATCAATGAGTACTTGAGTTCCTCCCATTTAAGTATAAAAGTTTCAAAGTCAAAGGAAGCACTCCTTGTAGGTTTCTTTTTCTTCTTCAAATTAAGCCGTTTGTATATCAACGCTTAACACAATCGATCTTTGATGGCTAAGTTAGTTAAAAAAAACAATTTTACAGAGTTGTTATTCAAAGAACTCTATATGTGTATAAATATTTTCATTGGTATCATCAGAAAGCACTTTTAATATGTCAGTATGAAAAGTTCGTATATATTCTTTCTTGTCTGTAAGAACAGTATTCAGAGAGGTATGGTTTATCCGTATAATTAAAATATGTGATAGATGAAATAATAAATTCGTAGATTTCATATCAGATTTATTGAACGAGACTCGCGTTATATTTTCTTTTTATTTTACGCGTTTAATTAATTAGATATGGAATCCAAATTCATTTAAAAAGTTTTAAGAATCGATATTAAAATAAAAGAGACATAAATGAAATATTTTCTCATGCTATCTACAAATTAATACAAATGATAAATAAACAGCAACTGTGCCTTATTAAGGTTGTAATAGTTAACAATATATCTTAAGGAGACATATACAATGGTAATATTTTTACATTAATTTCTTACCATCATCTTCGACTTTAGACAAATCCTCAGTGTATAAATCTGGGACCGAATGTGAAGGTAATTGGTATTCTGAAGTGATTTCAATATGCCTGTTGACATCTTCAGTACTTTTCAAGCGTTCATCTACTTCTTTTCCTATCTGAAAGTCTTTTGATTTATTAAAAAAGTTAATTAGACTTTTGCATTTACATTCAGCGTTTGTACCTTTACAAAGTTCAATCAACGAGTACTTGAGTTCCTCCCATTTAAGTACAAAAGTTTCAAAGTCAAAGGAAGCACTCTTTGTAGGTTTTCTTCTTCAAATTTAGCCGTTTGAATAATATGCGCTTAACACAATCGATCTTTAATGGCTAAGTTAGTTAGAAAACAGTTTTACAGAGTTGTTATTCCAAAAACTCTATTTGTGTATAAATATTTTCATTGGTTTCATCAAAAAGCAATTTGTATATGTCAGTATGTAAAGTTCATATATATTCTTTCTTGTCTGTAAGAGCAGTATTCAGAGAGGTATGTTTTATCCGTATTATTAGAATTTGTGATAGATAAAATAATAAATTCGAAAAGATTTCATATCAGATTTATTGAACGAGACTCGCGTTATATTTTTTTTTATTTAACGCGTTTAATAAATTAGATATGGAATCCAAATTCATTTAAAAAGTTTTCAGAATCGATATTAAAATAAAAGAGACATAAATGAAATATTTTCTCATGCTATCTACAAAGTTATTACAAAATGATAAATAAACAGAAACTGTGCCTTATTAAGGTTGTAATAGTTTACAATATATCTTAAGGAGACATATACAATGGTAATATTTTTACATTAATTTCTTACCATCATCTTCGACTTCAGGCAAATCCTCAGTGTTATAAATCTGGGACCGAATTTGAAGGTAATTGGTATTCTGAAGCGATTTCAATATGCTTGTTGACATCTTCAGTACTTTTCAAGTTTTCATCTACTTCTTTTCTATCTGAAAGTCTTTTGATTATCAAAAAAAAAAACTTTATTAGACTTTTGCATTAACATTCAGTGTTTGTACTTTTACAAAGTTCAATCAACGAGTTACTTGAGTTCCTCCCATTTAAGTTCAAAAGTTTCAAAGTCAGAGGAAGCACTCTTTGTAGGTTTATTTCTTCAAATTAAGCCGTTTGAATAATATGCGTTTAACACAATCGATCTTTTGATGGCTAAGTTAGTTTAAAACAATTTACAGAGTTGTTATTCCAAAAACTCTATTTGTGTATAAATATTTTCATTGTATCATCAAAAAGCAATTTGTATTTTGTCAGTATGAAAAGTTCGTATATATTCTTTCTTGTCTATAAAGAACAGTATTCAGAGAGGTATGTTTTATCCGTATTATTTAGAATTTGTGATAGATAAAATAATAAATTCGTAAAGATTTCATATCAGATTTTATTGAACGAGACTCGCGTTATATTTTTTTTTATTTTTAACGCGTTTAATAAATTAAATATGGAATCCAAATTCATTTTAAAAGTTTTCAGAATCGATATTAAAATAAAAGAGACATAAATGAAATATTTTCTCATGCTATCTAAAAAAAAATTATTACAAAATGATAAATAAACAGCAACTGTGCCTTATTTAGGTTGTAATAGTTTACAATATATCTTAAGGAGACATATACAATGGTAATATTTTTACATTAATTTCTTACCATCATCTTCGACTTTAGACAAATCCTCAGTGTATAAATCTTGGACCGAATTTGAAGGTAATTGGAATTCTGAAGCGATTTTAATATGCTTGTTGACATCTTCAGTACTTTTCAAGTGTTCATCTACTTCTTTTCCTATCTGAAAGTCTTTTGATTTATCAAAAAACTTAATTAGACTTATGCATTTACATTCAGCGTTTGTACTTTTACAAAGTTCAATCAACGAGTACTTGAGTTCCTCCCATTTAAGTACAAAAGTTTCAAAGTCAGAGGAAGCACTCTTTGTAGGTTTTCTTCTTCAAATTAAGCCGTTTGAATAATATGCGCTTAACACAATCGATCTTTGATGGCTAAGTTAGTTAAAAAACAATTTTACAGAGTTGTTATTCCAAAAACTCTATTTGTGTATAAATATTTTCATTGGTTTCATCAAAAAGCAATTTGTATATGTCAGTATGTAAAGTTCGTATATATTCTTTCTTGTCTGTAAGAACAGTATTCAGAGAGGTATGTTTTATCCGTATTATTAGAATTTGTGATAGATAAAATAATAAATTCGTAAAGATTTCATATCAGATTAATTGAACGAGACTCGCGTTATATTTTTTTTATTTAACGCGTTATATAAATTAAATATGGAATCCAAATTCATTTTAAAAGTTTTCAGAATCGATATTAAAATAAAAGAGACATAAATGAAATATTTTCTCATGCTATCTAAAAAATTATTACAAAATGATAAATAAACAGCAACTGTGTCTTATTAAGGTTGTAATAGTTAACAATATATCTTAAGGAGACATATGCAATGGTAATATTTTTACATTAATTTCTTACCATCATCTTCGACTTCAGACAAATCCTCAGTGTTTAAATCTAGGGCCGAATTTGAAGGTAATTGGTATTCTGAAGCGATTTCAATATGCTTGTTGACATCTTCAGTACTTTTCAAGTTTTCATCTACTTCTTTTCCTATCTGAAAGTCTTTTGATTTATCAAAGAACTTAATTAGACTTTTGCATTAACATTCAGTGTTTGTACCTTTACAAAGTTCAATCAACGAGTACTTGGAGTTCCTCCCATTTAAGTACAAAAGTTTCAAAGTCAGAGGAAGCACTCTTTGTAGGTTTATTTCTTCAAATTAAGCCGTTTGAATAATATGCGCTTAACACAATCGATCTTTGATGGCTAAGTTAGTTTAAAACAATTTTACAGAGTTGTTATTCCAAAAACTCTATTTGTGTATAAATATTTTCATTGGTATCATCAAAAAGCAATTTGTATTTGTCAGTATGAAAAGTTCGTATATATTCTTTCTTGTCTATAAGAACAGTATTCAGAGAGGTATGTTTTATCCGTATTATTAGAATTTGTGATAGATAAAATAATAAATTCGTAAAGATTTCATATCAGATTTATTGAACGAGACTCGCGTTATATTTTTTTTATTTAACGCGTTTAATAAATTAAATATGGAATCCAAATTCATTTTAAAAGTTTTCAGAATCGATATTAAAATAAAAGAGACATAAATGAAATATTTTCTCATGCTATCTAAAAAATTATTACAAAATGATAAATAAACAGCAACTGTGCCTTATTTAGGTTGTAATAGTTTACAATATATCTTAAGGAGACAAATACAATGGTAATATTTTTACATTAATTTCTTACCATCATCTTCGACTTCAGACAAATCCTCAGTGTATAAATCTGGGACCGAATTTGAAGGTAATTGGTATTCTGAAGCGATTTCAATATGCCTGTTGACATCTTCAGTACTTTTCAAGCGTTCATCTACTTCTTTTCCTATCTGAAAGTCTTTTGATTTATCAAAAAACTTAATTAGACTTATGCATTTACATTCAGCGTTTGTACCTTTACAAAGTTCAATCAACGAGTACTTGGAGTTCCTCCCATTTAAGTACAAAAGTTTCAAAGTCAGAGGAAGCACTCTTTGTAGGTTTTCTTCTTCAAATTAAGCCGTTTGAATAATATGCGCTTAACACAATCGATCTTTGATGGCTAAGTTAGTTAAAAAACAATTTTACAGAGTTGTTATTCCAAAAACTCTATTTGTGTATAAATATTTTCATTGGTTTCATCAAAAAGCAATTTGTATATGTCAGTATGTAAAGTTCGTATATATTCTTTCTTGTCTGTAAGAACAGTATTCATAGAGGTATGTTTTATCCGTATTATTAGAATTTGTGATAGATAAAATAATAAATTCGAAAAGATTTTATATCAGATTTATTGAACGAGACTCGCGTTATATTTTTTTTTTATTTAACGCGTTTAATAAATTAAAATATGGAAATCAATCCAAATTCATTTAAAATGTTTTCAGAATCGATATTAAAATAAAAGAGACATAAATGAAATATTTTCTCATGCTATCTACAAAATTATTACAAAATGATAAATAAACAGAAACTGTGTCTTATTAAGGTTGTAATAGTTAACAATATATCTTAAGGAGACATATGCAATGGTAATATTTTTACATTAATTTCTTACCATCATCTTCGACTTCAGACAAATCCTCAGTGTTTAAATCTGGGACCGAATTTGAAGGTAATTGGTATTCTGAAGCGATTTCAATATGCTTGTTGACATCTTCAGTACTTTTCAAGTTTTCATATATTTCTTTTCCTATCTGAAAGTCTTTTGATTCATCAAAGAACTTTATTAGACTTTTGCATTTACATTCAGCGTCTGTACCTTTACAAAGTTCAGTCAACGAGTACTTGAGTTCCTCCCATTTAAGTACAAAAGTTTCAAAGTCAAAAGAAGCACATTTCGAATAGTTTTTCAGATCAAGTTGTTGGACATATATGCGTTTAACACAATCGATCTTTGTTGGCTCAGTAAGTAAAAAAACAATATCACAGAGATTTGTTATTCCCAAAGATTCTATTTTTGTATCAATGTTTTCATTGGTATCATCAAAAAGCACTTTGTATATGTCAGTATAAAACGTTCGAATATGTTCTTTCTTGTTTGTAAGAACTATATTCAGAGAGGGTCCTCTTTTTTCAACAACATCTCTAATGAAGGCTTTAATTGCTAATGGCACGGCTTTACTGAATAGTAACATGTGCCTGAAATACAACTCTTGCCCTCTTGCTATTTCATCTGTTTTCTAAAACAAAAACAAAAAATCAAAACAGAATTCTTGTCTTGTTTTAAGTATGTTTTATTTAATTGACATAATTTTTGCTTAAAACAAGTATGTAGATTTCCTGTTGGTTGATTTTAATTAACTATATAAATTGCCAATTGTGGAAAGTGATATTGATATTTTGTGGATTTCTCTCAGTCCATGGTGCATTGATGTGTGTAGAAGCGTTATAAACATTTATGCATATTAAATATTAAAGCTTAAGAGTTTTTTTCTTGTTCATTGAAGAGTAAGTTTAATCCACAAAATTTACCTGGCAAGTATTAATGCGAAATTTTAAAACTAAAAGAAAAAATGCACACTTTAATGTATATTCTCTATAAATTTTGACCTGTCGACATCTATAGAAAACTCTTAAAAAGGATGATTGCTGTCTACAACTACGCCTTCTTTGTCCTCTATTTCTGGATAAATATATTTGAATATAACACTATTTAGAAAGGAATTACTGAGACCTAAAATATTTTAGGATTGTCAGACTTACATAAGAAATTGCATTAATTCTATTCTCCATTTCATCCGACACTCCACTAACACCACTCAAGGTTTACCAGCCACTTCATCATCATTGGTTAACATTGTACATACCGAGTTGCTGAAATAATTATTACAAAGACTAATTGTTTAAAGCAAATAAGACGAGCATTCTATTTTTTAATTTACTTTGTTTATTGCAAAATGTTGTTTGTTACAATCTGTAACTGAAGCATGAAAACATAACACTACAACATTATAATTGAATAACAGAAATAATGAACATGGAATCAAACATATCTAATTTTATTTTACATTCAATGAAGCAGTAGTCAAGTAATGATGCTCTTGCATGCTTGTTATTGCCAAGTGACCAACTTATGTTAAATTTTGCACGAGAGTGCCATTTGAAAAAAATATCATCTGCGCGAAACAGCATTTTAAACCGGCCCTATTTCACGAAAGTAAGTTAAAACTACATTATATCAATTAACTTTAACTGACGACAATCATTATGCTGTTATAAAGCTTTATAGAATAACCTAAAGAACATGTTGAAGGTTTAATTGATTTCGTATAGTTATGTCTCGACAGTACATATCTGTTTATGGTTTGTTTGTTTTTTTTTAAGTCAGGAAATGATTCTTAGAATCTTAGAACCTCCATCGGGCGGGTTCAACGCTCGACAGTTTTACTTTTTCTAAAAGCAAACAAATAAACGGTTTAAACACATCTTAAAGAAAAAATATTTCCTTTTTTTTTACTTTCAATAGGTCTAGACTGTCTAATTACACAACAATTGTCCAAGTATGAATCCTTTGCATAAATAAATTACAAAAGCTAAGCAAATATAATCAAGGTCAAGGTCACTTAAATGTCAAGGTCATATGTAAATTTTTCCACATATTTAGCAAGCACCAAAATGGCCCCGTCTTAGATATTGATAAAAACCTTAAGGAGAGGCAATTTGGTAGGAAGTTTTATATTCGAATAACCAACTACCTACTAGCTGGTAGTTGGTTTCTCGTAATCCCCCTCTACCTACCATCAGGTAGTTGGTAACTCGATTTTTGTATGTTTTCCGTTAAAAAACAGTAAGTATTTTTCCGGAATAAATATAATATATATACGATAGTGTGTTTTTCAACATTGAAACACCTTGTCTAACTATGTCCACCAACAGAATCAGTTGGCTATAGTACAACTGTAGTATATAAATAACACATGGGTTTGTGGGTAACAGTAAAAATATAATCCCAAGGAATATACTGTTACCCGAGGCGTTGGCTTATAAATCGATTAACTTCATATTTAGAACTTACATCTTTTAGGTCAGGACCTTCATGTTGATTATGACTTATGTATGACCTTGACACTGAGTGTAAAATTTTAGAATTTTCACTGATTGTTGCCATAATGTGCTGTAACTTGGTTATTTGTCAATGAATTATATTTATACTTGGATAAAACAAACGTTTAGACAAGACCTTGACCGTCAATGTTAAATTTATGTATTTCGGTTAAGTTGTTTTAATTTTGTTATTTATGTACGGATTTGATATATTTGACAAAACAACACTTATGACTCAACAAACATGTTGAAAAATTTCGATATGACCTTTAAATGACCTCGACCGTCAAATAATTGAAGTCTACTTTTAAAAAAGTAAACAAAAAAGTCAAGCGTTGCCCCGATCGGCGGTGGCTCATGTTTATCTTATAACTTGAATATACATTTGACATAAAAATATTTAACATTCAAAAGACATAGTTCAATGTAAATTAACATACACATTTATCTTGTGATCATTTTTATCAGTGATAAACATTAAAGGCACATCATGCCTCAGACATCAATAATTAATTCATTTTTTTAAATTTAATGTCAGATATGTGTTTGATAGTATTTTGATATTAAATTCAGAGCATCTTAGAAGAAAGTAGAAAATTTCGCAGTAATGTGTAGTAAAGTGATTTTTTTAAAACTGTTATATGATACCAAAAACAAAATGATTTGAATAATAAATATATAGCATTTCAAGGGCTTAATATAGGTCTTTAAACAATTGGTCGATTGTAGACGTTTATAATGACAAATAACTTGATGACTTTATCACAATCAAAGCGAAACAATTTACTTCCTAGTTAAATTAATTTAGATAACACGGTAGAGAATCACATGATTTTTACGATAACGTGTACTGACAATATGGCGGCCTAAACACCTCGCTTTACATGTGTTTTCCAGATATTTCTTATTATATCTCTTATACACCGTGTATATCCAGTAACGCCTGATTGTGAAAATAAAGCACTATTCGTGCAATAAGTAACAGAGAGATCATTTTCGCACTCAGGTAGCTCAAATTGTACTAAGTTACAATATGCAATCAAAATGTTGAATGTCATGATCTAAATATCATTTATTTCTTAATAAGTTACGAAGAAAACACATGGACTATAGGTCGCAAATAACTTGATTATAGTCGCCGATAAAAGGCGTTAAACCTGTGTAATAATTCTGTACCATATAAGAAAAAAATCACATTTTCCAGCGTTACCGCGAAGCACTATTCACGTACATTGGCGTTACCTCTTAAAAACGACTTGAATCACATTTCATCAGCTTATTTCAATTTTCTATATCACTAGAATTTTAGTAAATATCACTTGCCTACCTAAAATCGAAATTATACTGAGTGTATAATATGCATTGTTGTACTTATAACAGTCGACAAAAAGCCAACTTAACTATAAAACAAAAGAAAACAAAATCTCTTTGTGCTTAATTATTATTTTGTGTGACAATGGTAAGAAACAGTTCAAATAAGCAAAAAAGATAATGAATACTTGAAAATGGTAGTCAAGTCATCATTTTCACGAATGATCTTGAAAAGTAAACAATTTCATGGAAATAATCTTGATGATAGATAAAGAATTATTTTCTCGCAGCCGTATGCAGCTGTTTTTTTTTTTAATTCGGTTAAATAAAAAATATATTGGCCAGTTTTCTTACCTCGTTGGAAATCCTGTCAGGTATCCGCCATTTATTGCAATATTTTATGTGCAGGCAATATCTTTGCAAGTAATAGCTAAGATATTCCCGAGAAAAATACTGTTTCCCGAGGCGTTATATGAGGATGACAGCATTTTTAGGAGGGATGATATTTTTTACTGTTACTCATAAAACCTATGTGTTATGTATTTTATAATCCCGATAAAATACTGTAATGATCTGAAATGTCGGATGTACGATACACTAGATCAAATAAGATAAATCTTTCCATTCCTCATTGTAATGGCACTATTTTCTATAGTTGTATTAAAGATTGGAATATTATTGCTAGATAATCTGAAATGTATATCAAATCCAACTTTATATGAACCTTCTGTTAAAAACCATGTCGCTTCTATTTGGACTGCACAACATCAAAGTGATTTTCTCCATTACTGATGGGCATTACAGTTTCACATACTATTTCCTATTTAGACTATATAAATCAAGTAACACCTGGACGGGCTAATTTCGATCTGAGGATGCTTAAAACAAGAATGAATTAACCAATAATTAAAAACTTACAATCAATGATAAGCATCCGTTTGAGGTTAAATTTCAGACACACACTTGATTGTGTGACGGAAAAGTATTTTATGAATAACTTGATTTCCTCCCCTTTCTATAAGATCGCTACTTGCATAAGAAAAATATAACAATCTATTTATAAATTTAATATGAGATAAAGAGTAGGTATTTTAGTCACTTTTACTATCAAATCTGTATAATTTTAGGGTATCCTTCGATGTGTTTATATTTCCAAGTGTTTAGTTATTACTCACAATAGTTTGTACAAAGAATAGTTCAGGTAAAAGACGCTTATAAGATTTTGTTAGAATCAGTATCAAAAAACGTTTTACTTTTATTAGCCAATCAAAATTATTGCTTTTATTCAATGCGGAGATGGTGCACTCATAAGTATAAATAGAACGTTCGCAGTGTAAAAGATTCAGCTTCTCTCTTCCCCTCGGTACGTGTACGTCGTTGAGAAGACACAGGGCATCGGCAGATGATTGAAGGACCAATGCTACGTTTAAGGCGGCAAGTTCGCATGTTTTCTACAGCTCGGGGTAACGTTTAAGGCGGCACGACTTAGCTTGCATGAAGTTAGCTGCCGGTGTCCTGACTAAAGCCGAGGGGAATGGCCCTACAAAGTAGGCCTTTGGTCGACGAGGATGGTATGCTAGGGTGCGTGAGCCCCTAGCACGATTAGACGGCTTAAATGTCAGGCCTTTTGCTGGCACAAACAGCCCTTTTCAGGGCTAACCTTTCATATTGTCACGGGTAACTGTACGTTTAGGTTCTCATTGACCGCCGTACAGTGACCTACTTTCGGCTCAAAATTAATTTTTTTGAATAATATTCCGTGGAAATTGCATGGAGGTAAATTATCACCACTTTTGTGCTTCAAAATTAATTCTTTAAGGGAATGACTGGTGACATGTCCGGGGTCCGTACTAGACAGCGAAAGCTGCATTTTTGTGCCCTTACGGGCGGATGGACCCTCATTAAACATAGACTATAGATAGATAAAAGATTCAGTTTGGTTTCATCCGTAAGGCAGATCAGAGCAGTATTATATTTACTGGTACACATAAATCTCAAATATCTGGGGCTAAAAATCTCTTGCTGTTTCTCATGGACAAACCTTTCAATTGAAGAAAGTTTGAGAAATGGGTATTTAAGAGAGTCTGAATATGTCTGTGCAAGAAGGGAATGACGTATTAAATACATACTAGTGTACAGGAATCTCAGATATCTGGCACTAAGGACGTATTACTATTTCTGTCAAATCTCTGAGTAAATGTTTATTTTTGGGAAATAGATATTTGAAATATGTTTGGCTATGTCCTTGTAAGAGTTGGATTGTAAATTAAATGATAGTAACATTTTCTTGTACACAGCAATCTCGGATATCTGGTTGTGAAGTGTTCTATTGTTTCAGTAAGACCTCTGGGGCCAACGGTTGATCAGAAAGATTTGGTTGATGTTAAAGCTTATAGTTACTAGTACACCACAGAAATTTCGGATATCTGGTACTAAGGATGTTAAATATTTATAAGGCA